AAAAAAAAAAAAAAAAAAAAAAAAAAAAAAAAAGTCAGTGGTCAGTTGGAGCCCTTCTGCACTGCTGGCGGGGATGTAAAATGGTGCAGCTGCTGCTGAACTCGGTAATGACGGGTCCTCAAAAAATTAAAAACAGAATTACCGTATGATCCAGCAATTCCACTTCTGGGTAGAATATACCCAAAAGAATTAAAGCAAGGACTCAAAGGGATATTTGCACACTCATGTTCATAGTGGCATTATTCATAGGAGCCAAAAGGTGGAAGTAACCCCGGTGTCCACTGATGGATGAAAGGGTAAACCAAATGTGCCTTACACATACAAGGAATACTATTCAGCCTTAAAAAGAGGGACATTCTGACACATGCTGCATACAACATGCGTGAACCTTGAAGACATTTTGCTAAGTGAAATAAGCCAGTCACAAAAAGACAAATATTGTATGATTCCACTCATGAGGCGCCGAGAACAGTCAAGTTCACAGAGACAGAAGTAGAGGGGTGGGAGCCAGGGGCTGGGGGAGGGGGTGGGAGTTAGTGTTCAATGGGGAAGAGACTCGGCTGGGAAGATGGAGAGGGCCGAGGGTGGATGGCGGTGATGGGAGCACCACGATGTGAATGCACCTAATGCCACTGAAGTGGGTGCTTAAAAATGGTTAAGATGGGAAGTTTTATGTTACATGTATATTATCACAATCGGAAAAAAAATGTGGTGGGCAGTGAAGACAGCCTCACATGTGTTGGTCATTTTCTGGGGGGAATAAGTGGAGCCATTTCCATTTCTGGGTTGCCGGGGGCTGGGGGAGGGGAGGGTGGGGAGGCAGTGTTTAATGGGAATAGAGTCAGTATCCCAAGATGGAAAGAGTTCTGAAGAGTCACAGCAATGTGAATATACTACATGCCATTGAACTGTACACATAAAAATGGTTAAAATGGTGAAGTTTAGGTTATGTATTTTTTACCACAATTTTTTTAAACAGTGCCAACGATCTTCTGTACTCACCATTGCATCCATAAAAGGGAAGGCAGCAAGATACAGGAAGGCCCTTCTCGTTTTGTTCCCCACGGACTCATCCACATGGTGCAATTTATTGATGATGTAGTAGCCTAAGTCACTATATGCTGCAAAAGGTAAAACAAAACAAAACAAAACATGGCAATATTTAGAAAACATTATCCTCCTAAGCTTTTTAATCTCAAAAGTTTTCTTTAAAATAAATTTATTTATCTTATTTTAGTTATTCTTGGCTGCGTCGGGTCTTTGTTGCTGCCCACGGGTTTTTCTCTAGTTGTGGCGAGCGGGGGCTACTCTTCGTTGCGGTGCGCGGGCCTCTCATTGTGGTGGCTTCTCCTCCTGCGGAGCACGGGCTCTAGGCGCGCAGGCTTCAGTAGTTGTGGCATGCGGGCTCAGTAGTTGTGGCACACAGGCTTAGCTGCTCCGCGGCATGCGGGATCTTCCCAGACCAGGGCTCGAACCCATGTGCCCTGCATTGGCAGGCGGATTCTTAATCACTGTGCCACCAGGGAAGCCCTCAAAAGTTTAAAAACAATTTAAAATACAATATTTGGGTTTTGGTACCAAAATTAGAAAATTCAGATGAGCAAAAAGAAGAAAATCGTCTACAGTCTCATACAGCCCTCTACCCAGAAGGGGTCACAGTTGACACTCTAGGTTCTAATTGCCCAGTTCTTTTACAGGTGTGTGTGGTGGATTATGCGTGAGTGTTTTAACATAACAATGGGATAACATACCTTTCAATAAAAATGTTAAAGCTAGCTTTTCACTGTTTGTCATTCCTTTTGTATCATTTTTTTGGGAGGAGGGTGGTAACTCTGGGTATAGTCTCCCCAGTGGAAAAATGCTATATCTCTGTGCTTTCCAAGTCCCTCCAACATGAGGACCTGTGACCAGTGCGTGACTGGAACATAATGGGCCTTAACCAGCACAGGCTGAATGAATGTGTTGGTGCCAAAGGGAGAGAAAGGAAGGAAGAGAAAGGTCTCCTAGTGTCTGCTAGGCGTTCTGGCAGACATTGTTAGTAAAGGTTAAATACAATATTCAGCTATTTGCTACCTCATTGATACAATGTTTAGACTATATAGGAAAACAATGATCTTTGTGTTTTCATAGTGCTCTAATAGTAGTGTTCCCGTTGTGTTCATTCTTTTATAAATATGAATATCCATGTACTTGACAACTGCAGAATATGCTTTGAAATCAGAAAGGAGATAAAATTTAGTGTCTCTCTCACTTTGTGAAATAATAAGAATCCCTTCCCCCATCTCAAAGTTTTGGGGGACGACTTATTACCATATAAACTGGTAAAAAGAAATAATCCTCCATCCTCTGTCGGGATTAGTCTGGAATTATGGGGATGTTGGATTAAGTGTGCTCTTCAGGATGATATCCAAGTTATTTAAATGTCTATAAACAGAAATCTCAGCGAGGGTAGAGGTACAAGTAAGTGATTTCAAGGGGTAGGGGGCTGGAATGGCTAAGACATCCAGCATGCAATGCTGGTGGGACAGGCAAATGCAGGAGAGGAGGGCCCAGTCCTCCCAGGAAGGGCAGAGGTGGAAACCAAGAGGCGAGCTGCCAGGTGAGCCCAGGTGGCAGGTGTGGAGCGTGGCGGGACCAGCAAAACCACTGAGGCAGCAAGAAGAGAAATCCAGGAGGGAGGGTGGCACTTGGCAGAAGGAGAAAAGACTGGGGAGATGGGATTAGTTACGGCCAGGGACAAGGAAGGCAGCTGTGGTGTCCTGCTTGGATCAGAAGGCACGTAGGTGACCTGATCCTGGAAAGCAGGAGGAAGCCCTCCAGCCCGACTCGGCAGCAGTGAGGTGAGAAGTGCATTCAGACCTGAGATTAGCTGGTGAAACACAAAGCCGGGATAAAGATGTTGCTGGGATCACACACACAGCTTACTTTGGGGTGCCAAGATTTGGAAATCGTGGCTGCTGTTGATTTGTACACTCCTTTTCATTCAGTCAAGTTCACTGCGCTGAGACCTGCGCAGAGATGGTCCTGATCCTGCCCACCCCACTGCCCCTCCCAGCAGAGACCGCTGGCAATAGTAAAGGCAGCCACGCTGGGCAAGCAGAACAATGCCAAGTGCGCGAGCCCGGGGCTGGCTCTGAAGAGCTCAGGAACTAACATTCCCTGGTAAAGGCTAGCGCCAATACAAACGCCAGCTGACTGGACTGGACTGGATGGCTAAAGCTGGGCCCTTGAGATTAGAAAAGCCTGAGATCTGGAGGGCAATGTATGGGTTGACCTGTGTCCCCGCACAATTCATTTGTTGAGTCCTTAGTCCCCAGGACCTCAGAAGGTGACCTTATTTGACAACCAGGTCATGGCAGGTATAATTAGCTGAGATGGGGTCACGCTAGAGAAGAGTGGGCTCTTGGTGTCCTTCTAAAAAGGGGGAATTTGGACACAGAGATAGATACGCACAAGGAGAAGCCCATGAAAACATGAAGGCAGAGATCGGGGAGATGCTTCCACAAGCCGAGGGACAGCGCACGTTGCAAACCACTGGAAGCTGGAGAGGGTCCTGGGACAGACTCTCCGTCACGGCCTCAGACGGAACCAACCTCACTGCCACCACCTCGACCTTCCAGCCTCCAGACCGTGAGACCACACACTTCTGCTGTCTGTGTTGCTCTGTTAGGACAGACCTAGCAAACTCATACAGGTGGCTTCTAGGAAGGAGAGAATTATTTTTCCCGTGAGACTCTGGGGTAATGGCAGGAAAAGAAGGGGCGTGTGAATTTGAACAGCTGAGCTGAGAGCAGGGCGTGCAGTTTGCTCATGTGGCCTGAGTGTATAGGGGTCAGTATAAATAAGCTTCTCTACTTCTGTGAATATACCTAAGTGTACCAACTTATTAGACTATTTTAACTAAAACATCAAAAACAGTGCCTTTACGTAGAGCAATGAAGAGCTGACATCTAAAGTTTAACAGGGTCTGAAGGACTGCTGGGTGCTGAGCTCGACCAAGCCTCTGACTCTGCCAGGATGTTCCCCCCACCTCACCCCCATGCTTTGTTCAGATGCAGCTCCAGGGTCCGCAGGTGCCAGGGGTACTTTGCGACCAATGGGCCCAAGGACGCTTTTGCTTCTTTTTACTTCTTGTCCTCCTTTAGCTACTAGAGGAAAACTTTGGAGGCCAAGGAAAGAAGATTTCTTCCCGTCTTTCCTCCTTCCTTTTACTCTTCCCATATGTAGCAGAAGAGTCTGGTTATAACTACAAAGCTTGTTTCCACCCTGTGAGCTGGGAGAGTAAAATCCCAGCGGCTGTTTTCCACCCAGTATCGCCTCCCCGTCCCCTCCCATGTCCCAGCGCTGTTTCTGGCTGGAGGTAATTTGTTTAAAGCGCTTTGCATAGAGTCTATAATTACCAGGCTAGCTGCCTTAATGACATTCAGTAACCTTCAACTTCTATAAGCTGCCTTACCAAGACTCTTCTGAAATAGCTTATATTCCGGATGAAAAGTAGAACATTAGAGAGAAAAATTAAGCAAGGTTTTTGAATAGATGCCAATGGAGTTCATGGCCTGGCTGCAGCAGGAGGGCACAGACTTAACCTATTTACAGGTAGACAGCTTTGAGCTGCCCAAACAAGAAACAGGAAGGGCCATTCAAATCCCTAGCTCCTCTGACCTCAGAATTATTTTCCCGTGGGACTCTGGGGTAATGGAGGGATGGACCTTTCCAGAATCACTGGTTCTCAAACTTGTTCATGCAGAGTCGCCAGCACTTGTTGCAAAATGCCATGAAATTTAGTATTAATCAAAATAAGCCTCATTACCTATGATTTTCCCATGGGAATTGAAGAAAAAGCCCTCTTTCCATTTTTAGTAAAAGAATAATACGTGCATTTCCAAGGGGCAAATTTGGGAGCCCTTATTCTAATTCTAATTCCTTAGTTCCCATGTTTAAAAGTCTCACAAGTGCTACGGAATGACCCACTGTGTCCTGTCTACCAAGGCTCCTGCAACTTGGGTATCTTGAGCCAGGCTCCAGGTACACATAGAATAGATATCAACTTTTTGGCCAGTGGCTCTCTAGATTTCAAGTCTGTCAGTCCAACACAATTCCAAGTGTCTGCTCATTTGGCTAATTGCATAAGGTTTGGGGTGGTACGTTTTCCGGAGCCATCTTTTCCTCACCATCTCCACCATGCATTCCTGGGGAAGTGATCAGGGGGACCCACTCCAGCCATGTGCAAATGTCTGGGGAAACCCATAACCATGTGCAGATCTCTCAAGGATGAGAGAATGTGTGGCTTGCCAGTCTGGTCCAAAAGAGAAAAAAAATCAGAGAAAATGAATATGAAACACAAGAAAAAACATTATTTACAGCAAATGTAATAAAAAGGACCTAGTGAAAGTTCTCTCCTTTATTGGGGCAAACACAAATTAACAGTTGACCCTACAAAGGAGTTTTTGGTCCTCTCTGACCTGAGTCTACCTCTAAATGTCTCACTCTGATCAGTAAACGGATGCCCAGATGTGACACCAGGTTAGCGAAGGAAAGGAGCTACAGTTGAAACTGGTTTTTCAAAGCTGGTGACGCTTAGCTTTGAAGTCCCTTCTAAGTGACAAGATCCTCCAGCAGTTGGTAGATTATCGGTAGATACTGAAAGTTTGAAATGTCAAAGTTCATCCAGATTGGGAAAAAAAAAAAAAATCTAAGATAGAGATCATGCTGGGAATCAGGATTTCTCCAATGGCTGGAGGTGCCATGGCATACACAAACTTAAAAAATATATATATCTTAAGAGTACCTTGCCCCAGCACTAGTTCATAACCCAGGAGATTATGCAGACTGACAAAATATACTGAACTTTTCTAAATATTAAGTATTTCTTTGGAGACCATAACGTGATCAAGCAGTAAATAGGCAGAATATACAGATCTTCCTTGCTGTTAAAGCTGTGTTAAACATACTTACATGAACACTAGAATCAATCTGCTTTATTCAATATAGCTGCCCCTGAGATGTCACACAAAAGATTCTCACTGGTGTCAAAGGCTCTCCAAGGGGCCCAGCTACGGCCGCAAAGCTCAATGCCTAACGCCCTCCCTGCTGGCCCTCCTTCTACTCTGCCCGTCCCTGCTCTCCTTCCCTTTCTCTCTTCCTCTCTCCCCCTTTTCCTGTCCCTGTTGCCTAACGGGCTCTTCTATGGGCTCAGGCTGCACACCTCCTTTACCTGGTTACCTGCACCCTAGCACTGGGCATCTACCCTGTTACCTGTGATACTCAACACCGAACTCATTTTTTTGCTTTATTCTCCCCTGATTCATAAATGGCGCGGTGGCTGTGTGCCTCCCACTTCTTTTCCTCCCCAAGGATGAATATCTTTTATATTGATCTCACCTCTGTATCCAACTTTTGATTAGGAGGACCTGAATGACACGCACGTACTATTTGTTCAGTAAGTCATTTGTTGGACCACTGACAGGACAGATGGGGATTGGACTATTTTAAAGGTGAGTTAAACAAAGGGCAATTCTTTCACTCTTGTTTAGTCAAAGCCCCCCACATTCAAAGCAGGAAGGTCAGCTCTATTAATACTAGCGGTGCGTCTGCTTAGAGTTAAACATTCATGTTAATAACATCATAAGGGGAAATGGATGAATTTTATCAGTGTTTGAGTATATCTAAAAAAAAGAGAAATATTCATTAAACATACAGAAGGCATCTTGCTGGGAAAAGTAACTAATATTGTAAAGAATAAAATGAATAAACAGGTAAATTAGGAAACAAAGCAAAAAGAAACCAATGAGTTGGCCATTAAACTGAAAAAGCATAGAACACGGTGATTATGTTAAAACCAGGAGCCTGAGGTTAGACAGAATTAACAGAAATGTAATAGACAAGAAGAGTCACCATTTGTAATCTTACGTGGCTACAGCAAAATATTCACTTAGAGCACTGGGTCAAATTCTCCACTCCATCTTGTATCAAAGATAAGGCAATCTGTTATAAAGCAGAAACTAACACACCATTGTAAAGCAATTATACCCCAATAAAGATGTTAAAAAAAAAAAAAAAGATAAGGCAAAAATTAGAAAGAGCTGTGCTGGAATACAACCAACACTTTCAGAGCCAGTTAAGAGATGACCCACCCCACGAACCTTTCAGAACCAGTCCCTAAGAGAAAGAACTTCCTCCTCTATGCTCTTGGATGCCCTTATATAAATAAATGCTATGGAAAAGTTAGGTCTAGATAACAGAAATAAATCTATTAAGGAGATAGGGAAATAGCACCGAAAAAAGGAAAGTTTAAGGCAGTTAGACTAGTTTCTCCTGAACAAAATAATATAGAGAAATTTGGTTTTAAGCGTAGATTACTCTGGTTCCTATCTCACTCTGTGGGCTAAGCTGGTGAACGTGTAACATGCAGCTTCTTGTACTTACTCTAAGCCTTACTGAGGAGCTGTTCATGTGGGGAATACCTACCCATTTCAGTATCAGGCCAAGCAAATACAATTAGGAAGACTGCCTGAGAGCAGACAATGGCTTCTCAAGTCGAATTATTTGGAATAGTTGCTTTTTTGTTTATCTATGTCACTGTTCCCTTGTCCCGAGCATAGATAGCCGAGAGCTGACTGTTAAAGTAGCAATGTCAGTGGCTGCTTCTAGCATTACTAAGACGTGAAAATGGGTTTTAGTGTCTAGTGTAGGTGACACATTGTAAAGTAGAAACTGAACGGGGGGATGTTTATGGATGGTAGGAAAATAATGTTGGAAAAGGTGAGGATGACAAGAGAGCAACATCCCACCTGGAGCCTGTGGTCAATCAAGGTTATGGGGAAAAATTGCCAAGATCTGAGGATAGAAAAGCTTACGGGGGGGGCTTCCCTGGTGGCGCAGTGGTTGGGAGTCCGCCTGCTGATGCAGGGGGGGCGGGTTCGTGCCCCGGTCCGGGAAGATCCCACGTGCCGCGGAGCGGCTGGGCCCGTGAGCCATGGCCGCTGGGCCTGCACGTCCGGAGCCTGTGCTCCGCGGCGGGAGGGGCCACAGCGGTGAGAGGCCCACGTACCGCAAAAAAAAAAAAAAGAAAAGCTTACGGGATTAGTGAAAAAGAGGAGAAAGGAGGGTGAGCCAGGATGCCCGATGCAGCAGACAGTAGAAGGCAAGAGAAGAATCAAACCATAAGGCAGAAAACTGAAATAAGGCCAACAAACTAGAAGAGGGAAAATCATTAAAATTTGAGTTTTAAGTCTTTGAAAGAAATTGATATTGCTTTCTTAGTAACTGTAGAAAGCATTTGTTTGTTGGAAGGAAAAGAAGTGATCATTGTAAAAATATCAACAGTGATAAAAGCAATTGTTAAATATATCTGGGATGTAGAAGCATTCTGGTTGAAATGTAAGATTTTATGACTCCATTTTAAAATTGAAAAACTTGCATTTAACTTGGAAAATGACTTTGATTTTTATTTCAGTGACCAAATGTCCCTCCCAACAGTGTCAATAACATAGTACACTCAAGTTTTCCTTAATTACTGACATCTAGTAATTAGCTATTAGCCCCAAAGCCTCATTTGAGCATGACTAAAACAGGGAATGTTGGGTTTATTTGGAAGTAAGTAGCTAAAAGGAAACTAATTTATCTTCCTTTTTAGGCAAAAATTTATTTAGACCCACTCATTTCACATATGGAATTTTCTCAAGTACGTATACCATCTATGAAAATGGCCCAGATCAAAGGTAGCTGCAGAAGTTTTCTTTAAAACTCAGCGGATAAGTTAGTATTCAGGGTTTAAGTTAAAGGAAAGAAAGGCATCTCCTCTCTGTCCCATGCCCTGAAGCTCTGAGCCCCAGTGAAATGATCAATAGCAACACTTTGCCTGGATATTTGGCCCACGAGAAGCATCCTCTCGCCCACATTGTTCTTAGCACAGAATCCTATGTTGTATTAAAAAGGAAGACCACAGGGGCTTCCCTGGTGGCGCGGTGGTTGAGAGTCCGCCTGCCGATGCAGGGGACACGGGTTCGTGTCCCGGTCCGGGAAGATCCCACATGCCGCGGAGCGGCTGGGCCCGTGAGCCATGGCTGCCGAGCCTGCGCGTCCGGAGCCTGTGCTCCGCAACGGGAGAGGCCACAACAGTGAGAGGCCCGCGTACCGCAAAAAAAAAAAGAAAAGGAAGACCACAAAGGCCTCAGTCTATTTACTTTTAGATTCACAATTATACGAGTAAACATGAGTTGACACCTCGGTACACTGTAAATGGTTTGGGATGAGTAAACATGAGTTGACACCTGAGTACACTGTAAACGGTTTGGGTTAATCTCCTGGCTCTTCATTCACCACGGACATTCATGGCTCTCATACAACCAGTGCCAATCTGAAGACACACAATGGGTTTGTGAAGTGTTGTTCACAGGCTTTATGTAACTGGGTTCAGTAGGTGTGCCATTCAATTTTCATGCCAGGTAAGCTGAGCTGTTTTGAAGCCAAGAGGTTCTGAGATCATGCCTTTAGGGTTTTTTATCACCACCAAGAAGGCAGCAGAGGTAGATCTCCAGCTCTAAAGGAAGGGACTTTCCTAGGTCCTGGTGAAACCGTAGGCCGGTCACTGTGTGTGATAAAATTTTCTTGTTGTTTCATGGAAAGAATGTTATGCCCAGAGTACTGAGTCTCATCTGAAATAGAAACATGGGGCCCTAAAATGAGATAATTTTAATACATAAAACAATCTCATTTGTATTCACTGCTGATAAGAATTAATCCTGAATAACACTCCTTCTATTTTTATTCTTAAGATTGAGTCTGATAAGATAAACACCAAGGTCCTACTGTACAGGACAGGGAACTATATTCATTATCTTCTAATAAACTATAGTGGAAGAGAATCTGAAAAAGAACATATCTATATACTGCATATATATGATATACATATACATACACGTATATATATATATATATATATATATATATATATAGCTGAAACACTGTGCTGCACACCTGAAACTAAAACATTATAAATCAACTATACTTCAATTAAAAAAGAAAAGAGTAAGTAATGTCTGTCTCTAACAAAAGCACCTGGCATTTTTTTGACCTTACTGAATGCTAATCCTCGATCTGCTCACCTGTTAATGAAACTCCTTCCTCACTGACACAGGGTTTGGGAACCAGAGACATACAGCTTGCCAGACAAAGGACATTTTCTTTTCTTGACCTAGGAGCACAAACTCCATTCCTTCCATCCCTTAAAATTGTCATGATATTTAATAATTATGGAAGAAATCACTTACTACAATAAATACACGAAAATGGATTAAGAGGAAGAAGGAATTAGCAAAGCTAGATTCTTAAGGGACGGCCAACAGCCTTACCTATGAGCGTGTGGAAGACAGCGGCTATGGCACCAGCCACCACCATGCACAGGACAGCTTTGGTCCTGTCCCGCTTGCTGTTCACAAACACCAGGCCCACATTCTTGAAGTCACTCATGGGCCCCGTGAAGAACTTCATTAAGGAGTAGGCCAGCCCGTAGCTGGCCAGCATCTCCACTGCATCTTCCTTGACAGCAGCAATGCCCCGGTTCAAGGCCTGTGGAGGGAAGAAACCCACAAACAGCGTTAGGAACGGCATCTTGGGGCTTCCGTGGTGGCGCAGTGGTTAAGAATCCGCCTGCCAATGCAGGGGACACGGGTCCGAGCCCTGGTCCGGGAAGATCCCACATGCCACGGAGCAACTAAGCCCCTGGGCCACAACTACTGAGCCTGCGCTCTAGAGCCCGCGAGCCACAACTACTGAGCTTGCGCTCTAGAGCCCGCGCTCCGCGACAAGAGAAGCCACCATGATGAGAAGCCACGGCAATGAGAAGCCCGCGCACCACAACGAAGACCCAACGCAGCCAAAAATAAATAAATAAATAAGAAACGCCGTCTTATATCTCCTACAATAAAACTCAGCAGGTCATGTTTCCACAGGCACTCTAAGCAGCTTATAGGGCAAATCTCACTGTAATTTGATAAAGGTTATTAGTTTTCTTTTTCATCCATATTAGCTTCATTTTGAAATATCTTCTTGTGGGGGAGATAGCTGTCCGCTGGGGTGAAAGTAATAGAAAGAAACCCAACAAGCATTTTATGTTAATATCAGAAAATAATTCGGAGAAGTTCTGGTTAAAAGGTTAACAGGTTAAATTTTATTTGTAGGCTGAACCTATAGCAAGAGGCATTGTGGAAATGGGTCAGCCACTTTATATGGAGTAGGTGATGGTTTCTCTTTTCCTTTAAGGAAAGGGTGTGTGTGTGTGTGTGTGTGTGTGTGTGTGTGTGTGTGTGTGTGTGTGTGTGTGTGTGTGTGTGTGTGAGAAATACTAGGTATCTGTTATGTACGTATCCTTCACAGCATAAAGTAAGTTCTATGCTATGAAAATAGGTATTGAAGGAAATTATTATACAATCAATGGATGTTTTCACCTGATTCTTACTGTATCTTAACTTGAAATAGATTCCTGATCTCTTTGCAGACAAACAGGAAAAGAAAATCTTTAAACCAAATACACCATTTTGAATAATAAGATGTGGTAACAGAATATTCTGTTTTAATCATCCTCCATGGGGGACCCTCTGAGGTACTGGTGGCCTTGTCAGGATGGCATTTCCAAACTAACTTTCCCACCTAGTAGACAATAAAGTAGACTCTGGAGGTAGTGGGAATGGATGTCCAGGAAGAAGAAATTTATTTTAAAAATGTCCCCAGTATATCGCCTCTGTCTTAGGCACAGGCAACTGACTGGGCAGGAGAGTCAGCTTTCTGTATAGTAATACACTTTTAATTAGTTAATTTATTTTTATTGAAGTATAGGGGATTTACAGTGTTGTGTTAGTTTCTGGTGTACAGCGAAGTGATTCAGTTGTACATATGTGTGTATATATATATATATTTTTTTTTCAGATTCTTTTTCATTATAGGTTATTACAAGGTATTGAATATAGTTCCCTGTGCTATACAGTAGGACCTTGTTGGTTATCTATTTTATATATAGTGGTGTGTACCTGCTAATCCCAAATGCCTTAGTTATCTCTCTTCCCCCTGCCTTTACCCTTTGGTAACCATGTTTGTTTTCTAAGTCTGTGAATCTGTTTCTGTTTTGTAAGTAAGTTAATTTGTGTTATTCTTTTAGATTCCACATAGAAGTGATATCATATGGTATTTGTCTTTCTCTGTCTTACTTCACTTGGTATGATCATCTCTAGGTCCACCCATGTTGCTGCAAATGGCATTATTTCCTTCTTTTTTGTGAAGCCAAGCTAGCTGACACAGGGGTATAAAAGGTCACCTCCCCTGCCTCACCGTGGGACTGATCACTCTGGTACAATTCATGCTCCAGAGCTCCCCATGGGATCAGGTGGAAGCTAGTCTCCAGTGGAGACCACGTCCTTGTTTAATTTTTCCCCACTGCCCACTGCTTCCCTCTCCCCTTCTCCGGAGAGCACACACTCAATAAATCACTTGCACAAGAATTTCCCAACGCAGGTTCTGCTTCCAGAATCCCCAGCTCAATACAACTTCTAATTACGTTTCTCTCAGACATAGAGAACAGTGTATGGTTTGTTCTTTTTCCTTCTCATCCTTCCCCAGTCTATGACTGAAAACTGTTTACTTTTTATTGCTAAAATACGTGTTCGAACTTAAATGATAAAACTGTATATTAGCACAAGTTTTAAAACTACATAGGAGGGCCCCTAAATAATGTAGGATTAGTCTTTTTATATGTCTTGTTGGCAAAATTTTATTCTTTGCTAAAAAGACATTAGCTCTGGCTGGGGCATCAACGGCAATGCTTTCTATTTCCACCAACTGTTGTTCCTTGATGAAGTCCTAAAGCCAAGTGCTGAGGCACGAGAGCAGAAAGAAGGGCACAGGGAAGAACAGCTCTGTCAGCAAGACTGGGTGTGCAAACTCCACTGAGCTCAACAATTTATGGTAATTTGAGGAAGGAGCACAGGGTTTAGAGCCAGGCAGACTTGACTGGATCCGCTTCTACCACTTAACTACTGAGCGGCCTTGGCCATGGTACTTATTCTCGCTGAAATAATGGATCTTAGATTGTCTGTAAGTAGTGTACAGGGCACCACCCATGACTGGCCTAGAAAAGGCACTTGAAAGCAAGGATTTATGTCTATGTTGTTTACCACTGTACACCTACCACCTTGCTACCTTATAAACACTCAAATATTTGTTGGATGAATGAATGAATTAGGTATTTTCTGCCAGGAATTTCAATGTTGATATTAATTTGTATGCACTTTAAGGAAATCACATTTTGATTGTAAGACGAAGATGTTATTACTTGTAAGATTTACGATTGACTTAACATTTTTTTTGGCCACATTAAATGTACATCGTGATGGGAAAACATATCCTGATTTCAAGAAGCATTAAAATGCAAGAAAAATGAGCTTTAGAATTGAGGAGATATGCTATAGTAATATTATTAGCCTTTTTATTATTTCCATTTTCAGTACTGCCCCCAATTTGTTCACTTCCTAATTTTATGATTTTCTTTTGATACCAGAAAGATTAAGTTATTATGTAGTTGATCCTTCATTTCATGGAGTTTCTTTCCATACTTTTGGACTCTGTCATTCTTACCCATCTTTAGCTAAGGGAATTTTGTCTAGCTTATAGCTTCATTTGCGCATTTAGCTTTTTACTCCTCCTGGAACTTATGCTGTGAGGTATGGCTTAAAATTCATTTTCTCATAATAGTTTACTCCTTCAACACCAGTTTGAATAAAACACCCATTGCCCACTTATTTGTGATGTTTTCTGATCAGCCATTAGTTCTTATACTTCCTTCCATCACCTATTGTTTGTTTTACCTGTCTGTCTCAATTTGCTTACCCTGTTTTTCTTGATAGCATGTTCATTACCTGACATTATACTGTCTATTTACTTGTTATTTGTCTCCCTGTCTATCTTCTCCATTTGACTGTAAGCTCCAGGGCACAACGAGAGCTTTGTCTGGTTCACACCACATCTCCAGACCTAAACATGATAGGGGATCACATGATAGGTGAACGATAAGGATGAAAGAATGAAGTGAAATACACACGAACAGGATAAACATTTCCTGTGACGGGTACTGAAGAAACGAAATTAATGAGCTGGGGTTTCCTTGGAGGAGGTTATTCAGATGAACTAGACAAGGAAATCCCTTCAAAGAGGTGATATCTGAGCCGAGAGATGAAGAATGAACAGCTGTATGAAGAGTTGGAGGAAGGCACAGGCCTGCAGGAGGGCTTAGTGTTAAGGAACAGAAAGGCAGCCAGTGAGAGTAGAGGGGAATAGGTGAACTTGGAAGAGAAGACAATGCTGAGGTCATTCCAGGTCACAGCGAAGAACACGGTGCTTTGTTCTAAGAGCAGTGGGAAGCCATCAAATGGTCCACGCAGGGGTGTGACAGAGGCTCCTGTTGGCTGCAGGGATGGACGTGGCCTGGAGAGAGACAGGCAGAGCAGGAAGCCAGGAGTTCTGTGGTAATCCAGGTAAGAGAAGGCGATGGCTTGGACTAGGGGGCGTAGGGAAGACGGAGAGAAGTAGATTGACTCGAGAGCTTTCTGCAGGTAAAATAAATGGACCTGGTGATGGACTATGTGGTGGGTGTGAGGAAAAGGGAGAACTCAAAGCTGACTGTTGACTTTTTGGCTTGAGTCATCGGTCAAATGGTGTTGCTACTTACTGAGATGAAGGGACTGGGGGAGGGAAGGTTTGGGAGGAAAAGGCAAGACCTCCACTGGGGAGTCCCCTACTGGGTGTGAGACACCCACAGCATTCCAAACACAGAAGTCAGGTAAGACAGTTGACTAGGTGAGCCTGGTGTCCAGGGGACATCTCGGCTATGGATATTGGAAGGTCGTCAGTATGCAGACAGCATTTAAAGGCAGGAGACTCAACGAGATTATCTAGACAAGGTATAGATAGAAGGGAGTCTGAGATTCAGCCCTGTAGGACCCTAGAAATAACTTTAAACATTAAGTATGTGGCAAGCCTTCCATGTTACCTGGGGGTTATAAGGATGCTGTAGTTCAGCATCCATCAGTTAGCTACTACTGTTCTGGCCATGTCACTCACAAACCCTGCTGCATCTCTAGCCAACACCAGGAAGAACAGCCACTGTGGCTGGGAAAGAGGAAGAGCTACGGCCTTGAAATTCAGCTAAGAAAGTGTCTGAGACGTCTTTGGAATGAATTAGGCCTGGAGTCACAATTCTGTCCCAAGATTGTTGGAAGTACACAGGTTCACCGACTGTTCCACCAGAGGCAAGTGTCTAAACATTCATGGGCTTCCCAGAGTAAAGACACTTTAAATTAGGGCCACATCTACCGAGACTCCAACCACTGTAACTATGAAGCTGACCTTCAAGCCCAGCCTGGCTCTGGTCCCAGATGGCAGGGCACGGGGGCCTCGTCACACTCCAGATCAGCATTCTCTGTGCTGTGGGTAGTCGTCAATATGTAATGTCTGACTTCCAAACTTATCTGGCTCCAGAAGGCTTTTCTTGGGTCCTACCTGCCTTAGTAAATCCCAGTATC